TTAGAGTGGGAGCTGGTTTGCCAGAGGGATTTTCTGTCTTTAGGTCTTCCCTTTGCATAACATTTCAGAAGGATCTGTCTTTAGCAGTATTCCATTTCTTACTTGTTACAGAAGAGTTGGAGGGGCAACAGTGTTTTCTGTTGTTCTCATAAAGCCTGTCTTAGCCAGGCACAGTGGCTAATGCCTATGATCCCCAACACTTTGGGAAGCCCAGGCAAGAGGAACACTTGAGGCCAGGAGTTTGAGACCAGCCTGGACAACCTAGTGAGACCCTGTCTTGTATAAAAAATGTCTCAAATTAGCCAGATATGGAGGTATGTGCCTGTAGTCCCAGCTACTTGAGAGGCCAACATGGGAGGTTTGCTTGAGCCCAGCAGTTTGAGGCTGCAGTGAACTATGATTGCACCACTGCACTCCAGCCTAAGCCACAAAGGAAGATCCTTTTTCTAAATTAAAAAAATAAATGAATTCAGTCTTTGGCTTCATTATGTCCTTTGATCTGGTACATTTGGTCTTTTAGTGCTCCTGCCCACCCTTAGATGGGCACAAAACAGTTCTGCCCCTTTCCCCAGATGCAATAGCTTTCATCAGTGCCCCAAAGACAGCAGTGTTTCTTGGCCCCAAATCTATACAGATTAAAGCATATGTTCCCTAGGCAGGGTTTAGTGCCTTCCTATAGTGGCTGATACTCCCCTTCCTGAGTCCTGTACCATGAAATTTCTTTCTCAGGACTCTTGCCAGTCTTTCTTGTATGCCCCTGTTGCGGTACAAGAGTTTGTTAACTTAGACTTCAAGTCTGCTGCCTCCTGAGCCTCCGCACTGTCTAGCCAGCCAATACTTAGCTTCCACCAGTTTGATATTTACTCTAGCTGAACCATTCTTAGCTTGTGGCTGTTTCTGCCCCTGGTGAGAAAGTGCTTAAATCTCATCCCATCTCTCTTGGAAGGCTCCCTTAGAGTTTGGCTAGCTTTCTTTGTTTCCCTCATTTTGGCTCACTGCAACCTCTACCTCCTGGGTTCAAGAGGTTCTTCTACCTCAGCTGCCCAAGTATCTGGGACTACAGGTGCGTGCCACCACTCCCTGCTAATTTTTGTATTTTTAGTGGAGACGGGGTTTCACCATATTCAGGCTGGCCTTGAATTCTGACCTCGTGATCTGCCTGCCTTGGCCTCCCAAACTGCTGAGATTACAGATGTGAGCCACCATGCCCGGCCTGCCTTCTTTTTTCACTGGAAGGGTGGGAACAGTAGTGCTTTGAGCCTCTTCATCCCAGATCACAAATCAAAAGTTCTGATTATGATGTATTTGTGATAGTTTTATTTTGTACTTTCGGTTTCTTTATTTTTTGTTCCTATGTTTGTTCTTCCTTTCCTCCTCTTTATTGGATTAATTTAGTTTTTTCTTTCACTTTCAGTTTGACTGTTATAATTTATTTTGTTTCCTGTTAGTGTTTAGTACCTGAAAAAAATTGGGAGTGCTTACCTGGCTGAACAAAGTCTAAAGTTAGTCTTCATCTCTGTATCCCTTCCAAACATTTATAAGGACCTGTAAAGAACTTTATGTGTTCTTCTGACTTACAAGTTATTATTGTTCATTTTTTAATACCTCTGAACTACTAGATATTATTATTATTTTATGGAGTCAGAGCTTATCTGGATTTGTTCCTGTTAACCAATTATTGTTGCTCTGAATTCTTTTTTTTAATTTAGTTTAGTTTAGTTTTTTGTTTTTTTTAATAGGGTCTCACTGTTTTGCCCAGGCTTAATTGTGGTGGCTGTTCACAGGCTCCATCATATCTCACTACAGCTTCAAGCTCCTGACCTCAAACAGTTCTCCTGCCCCAACCTCCCAAGTAGCTGGGATTACAGGCTGCTCTCTGCTCTTATATTTGACAGTTTCTAGTTTCCATCCTGCCTTGTAAATCTGTCACTTCTTTAAAATTACTTTTCTCCCTTGTGTGATAGTATAGCTCAGTATACTACTATAGGGTGAAGTTGTTTTTTTTAAGCACTACAAATTTTTGCCGTTGAAATATCTGCTAGACATTTTATTATCCTTCCTTTATAGATCTCAGTTTTCCCCTTGATTTTCCTCTGTAGCATTCTAAGTTTTGTTACAGTATATTTTGGTGGAGATTTATTTGTATTTATCCTGGTTGCAACTAGTTGTGTTTCCTAAACTGTAGATTCATATCTTCTATTTCTTAAATTGTAAAATATTCTCAAATATTACCATCTCTTAGACCATCATATCTCACTTTCTTTTTCCATTTTATCCTGTAACCTCTATTAGGTATATTTTGGACCTTACTCTATTTTCTGTGTCTAATGACTTCTTCTAGGACACTGATTATATCTTCAGTGCAGCTAATCTCCAATCTAATCCATTCATTGAATTTTTAATATCAGTGGCTATATGTATAGAAATTTTCTTTAGTTATTTTTCCAATTTGCTTAATGTTTTTGATAGTGACTTGCCTATAGTTCTTTGCCTGTGTTTTGGCATCTTCCTTTTACATCATTAATACTGTAATTTTAGGCATAACCTGTGTTATAAAAAGTTCTATAATTTATTATCTCTCGAGTTCTTAAAATATATTTTTTTCTGTCCACTGTCTCTCACTCATGGCAGTTCTTGGGTTTTATGTGCATTTTGTAATGCTGAATTATGGTCTTGTGTTCAGGGATGCAGGGAGGGAGTTTTATCTGTGGAAATTATTTGCAGCTTATGTCAAAGATGTGTCCCTCTGAAGTGTAGTTATTTGTTTTAATGGTAGCAGGTAAGACAGTAAAAAGAGACTGTGATACATTTTGAATACAATACTAAGAAGTTTACTTAATTTTGTAGACAGACTTATTTGTTGATTCAAAATGAGAAAGAAGCCAGGTGCAGTGGCTCATTCCTATGTTCACAGGATTTTGGGAGACCAAGATGGGAGGATCACTTGAGCTCAGGAGTTCAAGATGATTGGCCTGAGCAGCGTAGCAAGACCTCATCTCTACTAAAAATAAAAAAAATTATCTGGGTATGGCGGCGCATGCCTATGGTCCCAGCTATTTAGGAGATCAAGGCTGAAGAATTGGGAGATTGAGGCTATGAGTGAGCTGTGATTGTGCCTTTGCACTCCAGCCTGAGCAACAGAGCAAGCCCCTGTAAGACCCTATCTTAAAAAAAAAAAAAAGAGAGAGAGAGAGATTGAAAATGAGCAAGACCAGAGTATATGTTACAAGAAGATAAGTAAAAGTAAAGATGAAGCAAGTTTTAAATGGTTGAAAGTTTTACAGCTTAGATCTATTAGATGATCTAAATTTTTTCATTCAAACTGGAGGCAAGGTCTTTTTCATAGGGTGTGGTAAAGTAGGAAGAATAATGGTAACAACTCAACATTTATTAAGTATCAAATTTCCCTGGTGCGGTGGCTCACGCCCGTAATCTCCAAACACTTTGGGAGGCCGAGGTGGGCAGATCACTTGAGTGAGGTCAGGAGTTCCAGACCAGCCTGGCCAACGTGGTGAAACTCCGTCTCTACTAAAAGTACAAAAATTAGCAGGGCGTGGTGGTGGGTTCCTGTAATCCCAGCTACTTGGAAGACTGAGGCAGGAGAATCACTTGAACTCAGGAGGGCAGAGGTTGCAGTGAGCCAAGATCATGCAACTACACTCCAGCCTGGGCAACAAAGCGAGACTCCATCTCAAAAATATAATAATAATAAAATCTAACGCATTGTGTGAGACTCATTTCATAAACTTTTCTCCTATGATCTAATCTTCACAACATAGCCTCAAAGGGCAAGTAGTACTATGTCTATTGAAATTTGGTAGGATTAACTTGGCCAAGCTTTAAGAACTGTTAAATGAGAAGTTAGATTTTTACTTCTTTTGGTTGTGAAAGTCCCAACTGTTTCTTTCAGGCCTCAGATAGAATAATTTAGGGTTGAGAGAATGCAGTCTGGGTCATACATGAGTGTGAAAACTACCTCGAGTTCAAGATCTATATGTTTTTTAGCACGTTTTATAATTATAATGCAATAAACAACTAGCATTTGTTGCTGCATATTAGGCCCTGTTACACATATTATCTCATTTAATTCTGAAGACACCAAAATGAGAAAGTATTTTACATACATTTTTCAAATAAGGAAATAGAGACTTAGAGTTACTAGCTTGTTTGCTTAATGACAAAATATTAAAACCAGAATTCAAAATCTGTCCTTCATGAAAAAAGACTGTGCTAGGCATTGAGAGCATGTAGAGGTACAAATATGCCATATTTTGTGACATCAAGTTTACAGCCCAATAAATAATGATGGGACCTTTTTTTTTCATTGAGACAGAGTCTTGCTGGAATGCAGTAGCACAATCTTGGCTCGCTGCAACCTCCACCTTCTGGGTTCCAGTGATTCTTGTGCCTCAGCCTCCCAAATAACTGGGATTGCAGATGTGCACCAGCATGCCCGGCTAATTTTTGTATTTTTAGTAGAGACAGGGTTTCACCATGTTGGCCAAGCTGGTCTCAAACTCCTGGCCACAAGTGATCTTCCCATTTTGACCTCCCAGAATGCTGGGATTGCAGGCATGAGCCACTGCACCAGGCCTGATGGTATCTTTTGACTGGTTTGTTCTTTCTTTCTGGAACTGGAAAGAGGAGTGAAATTCACCATTCCTGTATCTATCCGCTTTGTACTCCCATTGCCAATCTTAGAAAGGAACACCTTCAAGTTGTATGTAAGCATTTTTACAGTTTACAGCTATTTTTTGTATAAATGGTATATTGAGTTATAATTAGTTTTTAATATTGATATTATGCATTCCTTTGGATTAGTTCATTTTAAAAGCAGTTTTGTATCTTATTTTTTTAAGATGTTGATTTGTTGAATAACATTGACCTATAACTAATAACATTTTTAATAATACTATCATGGTATAAAATGGATAGGTAATTTTTTTTAAATTTTCAGGTCTTGTATCTATAGTCTGAGTATTTATATTTCTGATTATTAGAACCAGATCAATAGTAACCATCTTCGAAGAGCAGAACAAGAGGTGGTTAGCCTACAGGAGAAAGTGCAGTATCTTTCCGCACAGAACAAAGGACTCCTTACTCAATTAAGTGAAGCAAAGCGCAAACAAGCAGAGATCGAATGCAAGGTAAATATGTCAATTAACAGATTTTTTTTGTCAATATATAATAATATAATAATACCTTTTTTGGGTTTGTCTCATCATGTTTAGATTATCTTAAAAACAAAACAAAAAGGCTAGTCCTGTTTTCCACTTATTCTGAACTTGTTTTGGTAGTTGCTTTCAAACCAGGTTAGCTCATCTTGCTTCTGTGGTGGGTTTCAGTCAAGAAACATTTTCAGTCACTTCCTTGGTTAATTTAATTTCCTGCATTGGCATTTAATAGTATCTCTTTACACTTTTTCTTTTGACTGGTAACTGTTTAAAACCAGAGCTTTTAATGGCTTGATCAAGAAAAGATAGGTCATTTACAGAAGTTAGGGCTCCTCTGCTTTGATTGGCATCTTATTAGTGGGCAATTAACATTGACATGTTTTCTGGATAGACTGGAGAGCAAATGAAATGTATGTGTACCAGTGGGTTGGGAAAAATGCATTATGTTACCCATTATTTTTTTAATCAGTTATATACTTTGGCTTTTTTGTGAAGTGTTTGGATTCAAAAAGCATCAAAAAGAATGCAAGTACATTCTTTCCTGAAGTAAATTTATAGTATAGCAGTGGTGAGAGCGTGGGGAAAGGCAGTGAGATGGAAGAAGATGGGGGAGGGTTTGGGGGGGAAAGAGAGAGAGAAAGAGAGAGAGAGAGAGAGAGAGTGTAAGTGTGTGTGTGTGTGTGTGAAATAACTAAAGAGATGACTGTAGACTGGGAATTAGAATGGATTACTAAAGGCAAGTTATGGGATTTTAAAAAATAAACTAAGCATCTACATTTCCATGGTGAGATAGTAGGAATGATGCCCTTTAAAGATTCCAGCCTTATTATTATATAAGAAATAAGACTTTTGATGGCACATATAAAGCTGTAATTCCATCAACGTATTCTGGTGTCATTAAAAACCAAGAGTAAAGCTTGAGTGGTTTATCAGTGTCACTGAAATCCAGAGATGAAATTACATCCTTATAAATATGCATGACTGTTAGAATTTATACTGACAGAAATCTCTAGGCAGTACTGAAATTTGTGCAACGCACAGTCACTTTTGAAGGATATTAAACTAGTTTATAAAGAAAATATTAAATGAAGTATCAATCTGATTTGTCATACTGATATCTGAGTTTTTATTATGCTAAATTATCTGTGCTCACATCTTACAGAGAACTAAATTTAGTCTTTTATTTATTATTGGTGTTAGTTTTCCTTAAATATATTTTGATAACTGTGTTACTAGATTTAATATTGCTCTTCAAATGCCATAGTACCTGTTGTGCAAAGTAAAATGTTCTTTGGAAGTAAATCTTTGAGGAACTTGCTTTTGAAAACAATTTTCTTTGAACTTACCTAAGTAATGGGCTCAGATTCAGAATATTAAAGGATTTTTTGAACTAATATGGGATTTTATTTAATTTTTAATTGTTCATTAATACCTCTGTGAAGTATGTTACAGATGCAGACTCTTATCTACCTGTGTTTAAGCTTTGTGTTAATTTATTCAGTCTTTTGTAATGCCTTTTGCAGATTTCGAGAATGACCAATGTATTGTTATGCAGAATGCACCTAGTACATTCTGATTAAATGTATATATTTTACCTTGTCATGTTGGAATGATTCAGGAACAAAGTTAATTTTTCAAAAAGCCAGTCATTGAAATAAATCTGATTCATTTTCATTTAGTGTTATAAGATTATAGCTTATGACTAATTTATAATTATTAAAGCTTTTTTTTTATTTGTGTAAGATGTGTGGATATTGTTTATAATATTAATGGTGTTTTCCCTCTACAACTGAATTTGAATGTTCTCACTTAAAGATGAAATATTACAAGCCTGTGAACTCCAGTTTCAGAATGCCAAGCACTCTAAAACCCTAGAGTTTTTTCATAAATTTCACACAAATTCCTTTGGAGGGAAAACTTAATTTGAATTGATATATGGTCATTTATAATTTTTATTTATTCTACTTGATGTGAACATTTGTATCTCACTGCTTCATTGTATGCATTAAGCATATTGTTTCATTATAGGTGCTGCCTTACACCCTGCTGGATTATACTAATGTGTGGTTTATGCGACCTATTACTTTTCTAAAATATGAAAAATCTGAATTCCAAACACACCTGGTTTATTTTGTTTTGCTTTGGTTTGCTACACTAGAACAAGGAAGAAGTGATGGCTGTGAGGCTTCGGGAAGCAGATAGCATAGCTGCCGTGGCTGAACTACAACAACACATTGCTGAGCTGGAAATCCAGGTACCATATGAAAATAATAAAGTACATGCAAAAATATAGGTTCTTCTATCCTCTTTGTCTGAACAGTAACTTATTCTTTATCCTCATGATTGTGTTTCTTTTTTCAACACTTACTTATTTCCAACTTTTTTTATTGTGATAAAATAGACATAAAACTTACCATTTAAAAGTATACAGTTCCGTGGCATTACGTATATTTGACATTGTTGTGCAGCCATCACCACCATCCATGTCCAGAACTGAACCTCCCTCACTGAACCTCTATGCCTATTAAATACTAACTTCCCACTCCCTTCCTTCCCTGGCAACTGGCAACCACCATTCTATGTTGTCTCTATAAATTTGACCACTCTGGTTACCTCATGTAAGTGGAATCATACAATACAGTCATATGCTGCGTAAGGACATTTCAGTGATGGACAGCATAAATGATGATGGTCCCATAGGATGATAACAGACCTGAAAAATTGCTGTTGCCTAGTGACTATAGCCATCATTATGTTATAGTACAACACATTACTCATGTGTTTGTGATGAGGCTGGTATAAACAAACCCACTGCATTGCCACTCTTATAAAAGCATAGCACATATAGTTGTATATAGTATATAATACTTAATAATAAATGACTATGTTACTGGTTCATATATTTACTGTTTGTTGTTTTGCTATACTATTACTGTTATTTTAAAGTATACTTCTACTTATGTAAGAAGAGTTAACTGTAAGACAGTCTCAGATCCTTCAGGAGGTTTTCCAAAAGGCATTGTTTTCATAGAAATGACAGCTTCATGTTTGTTATTGCCCCTGAGGACCTTCCAGTGGGACAAGATGTGGAGACCGAATATAGTGACATTGGTGATGCTGACCCTGTGTAGGCCTAAGCTAATATGTGTGTTTGTGTCTTAGTTTTTAACACAAATGTTTTAATTTTTCTTTTTGAGACAGGATCTCACTCTGTTGTCCAGGCTGGAGTTTAGTGGCACAGTCATAGCTTACTACAGATCCAACTCCTGGCTCAAACAGCTTCCCCAGTACCGGGGACTACAGGCACACACACCACACCCAGCTTGCTTGCTTGCTTGCTTAGTTAGTTAGTTAGTAGCAATGGGGTTTCACTTTGTTGGCCAGGCTGGTTTTGAATTCCTGGCCTCAAGTGATCTGCCTACCTCGGCCTCCCGCAGTGTTGGGGTTACAAGTGTGAGCCACCTCACCCAGCGTTAATTTTTTTTTTTTAACTTAAAAATTTTTTTTGTTCATCAGGTGCAATGGCTTACTCCAGATCAGTAAGCTGTGATCACGCCACGGCACTCCAGCCTGGGCCACAGAGTGAGTCCCTGTTTCAAAAAAATACATTCATTAAAAAATAAAATTAAAATTAAAAATAGAAGAAAGCTTACAGAATAAAGATATAAAAAATATTTTGTATAGCTGTACAGTATGTGTGTGTTCTAAGCTAAATGTTATAAAAGAGTAAAGTTTACAAAATATTCAAAGTTTATAAGTAAAAATGTTACAGGAAGCTAAAGTTAATTTTTGTTGAAAGAGAGACCATTTTTTTTTTTTTTTAAGACGGAGTTTCACCATGTTGGTCAGGCTGGTCTTGAACTCCCAACCTCAGGTGATCCGCCCGTCTTGGCCTCCAAAGTGCTTGAATTACAGGCGTGAGCCACCACGTCCGGCCGAGAAACCTTTTTTTTTTTTTTTTTTTTTTTTTTTTGGAGACTCTTGCTCTGTTGCCAGGCACCAGGCCTGGAGTGCAGTGGCACAATCTCGGCTCACTGCAATCTCCACCTCCCGGGTTCAAGCAATTCTCCTGCCTCAGCCTCCCATGTAACTGGGACTACAGGCACGCGCCACCACGCCTAGCTAATTTTTGTGTTTTTGGTAGAGACGTGGTTTCACTGTGTTGACTAGGATGGTGTCGATCTCTTGACCTCGTGATCCACCCGCCTTGGCCTTTCAAAGTGCTGGGATTACAGGCGTGAGCCACTGCGCCCGGCTCAGAAACCATTTTTTATAATTTTTTGTAGCCTAAGTACACAGTGTTTATAAAGTCTACAGTAGTGTATGTCCTAGGACTTCACATTCATTCACTACTCACTAACTCACCTAAAGCAACTTCTAGTCCTGCAAGCTTCATTCTTTGTAAGTGCTCTATACAGGTATACTATTTTTATCTTTTATAACATACTTTTCCTGTGCCTTTTCTATGTTTAGGTATGCAAACACTGGCCATTGTGTTACAATTGCCTACAGTACCCAGTGCAGTAACATGCTGTGCAGGTTTGTAGTCTAGGAGCAATAGGCTATACCATATAGACTAGGCATACAGTAAGCTATACCATGTAAGTTTGGGTAAGTGCACTTTGTGATGTTAGCATGTTGAAACTGCCTAACGATGCATTTCTCAGAACATAACCCCATTGTTAAGAGATGTGTGACTGTATTTGTCCTTTTGTGACTGGCTTATTTCACTTAGTTTGATGTTCTCAATGTTCATTCATGTTGTAGCATATGTGCAAATTTTCTTAATTTTTAAAGCTGAATAATATACCACATTTTTTTATCTGTTCATTCATTGATGGACATTTAGAGTGCTTCCATGTTTCAGCTATTGTGAATAATGCTGCTGTGAACACAGGTGTACAAATTTCTGTTCAGTCCCTGCTTTTATTTCTTTTGAGTACATAGAAGTGAGATTGCTGGATCATATAGTAGTTGTTTAATTTTCTAAGAAACTGCTATACCATTTTCCACAGAACCTATACCATTTTACATTTCTACCAGCAGTGCCTGAGGATTTGATCTTTTCCACATTCTCACCAATACCTGTTAATTTTCTGTTGTTGTTGTTTTTGTAATTACCATCCTAATCGGTGTGAACTGGTATCTCATTGTGGTTTTGATTTCCTAATGATTCACCATGTTGAGCATACTTTCATGTGCTTATTTTGCATTTATATATCTTCTTTGGAGAAATGGCTATTCAGGTCCTTTGCTTAATTGAATCAGGTTGTTTGTTATTTTTGTTGTTGAGTTATAGGAGTTATATATTCTTAATATCATTTTCTTATCAGATATATGGTTTGCAGATATTTTCTTCCATTATGTTTGTTGCCTTTTCTCTGTTGATAGTGTCTTTTGCATGAAAGCTTTGAATTTTGCCAAATCAACTTACCTGGGCTTGGTTTTTGTTTTGTTTCCTTTTTTTTTTTTTTTTTTTGGGTGGTGTTGACTGTGTTCCAAGTCCATTTTTTAGTGAAAATTTATCATATTTCTATATTATCAAAACTACATGTTTTGACAGGGCTCAGTAGCTCACACCTGTAATCCCAGTGCTTTGAGAGGCCAAGATCGCGGGATTGATGGAGGGCAGGAGTTCAAGACAAGCCTGGGCAATATAATGAGACCCTGTCTCTACAAAACAATTTTTAAAAATTAGCTGAGTGCATGATGGTACAACCCTATAGCCCTTGCTACTTGGAAGGCCAAAGCGGAATGATCCCTTCAGAAGTAGGAGTTCCACATTACAGTGAGCTATGATCAAGCCACTGCACTCCAGCCTGAGTGACAGAGTGAGACCTTGTCTCTAAAAAAAATGTTTTTAAAATAAAAATGAGCCGGGCGCGGTGGCTCACGCCTGTAATCCCAGCACTCTGGGAGGCCGAGGCAGGTGGATCATGAGGTCAAGAGATCGAGACCATCCTGGTCAACACGGTGAAACCCCGGCTCTACTAAAAATACAAAAAAATTAGCTGGGCATGGTGGCGCATGCCTGTAATCCCAGCTACTCAGGAGTCTGAGGCAGGAGAATTGCCTGAACCCAGGAGGCGGAGGTTGCGGTGAGCCGAGATTGCGCCATTGCACTCCAGCCTGGGTAACGAGCGAAACTCCGTCTCAAAAAAAAAAATAATAATAAAAATTAAAAAAATAAAATAAAAATGCGTTTTGTCACTTCTTATGCCTTACTTCCTCTTGTATAACATGATAAAAGTAGTAAGTTTTCCCTAGGGACAAAATATTATGTTTAAAATCTTATGTCTTTCAAGAGTTTATACAGGTTAAAGTGTATTGCTCAACTCTTCAGTCTTTCAAAATAGAAAAGTCTTAAGTATTAAACTAAATAAAAGGTAATTTGAATCATTTTTCGAACTTTTTTTTTGAGTCTTCAATAGCATTTCTCTTCTCCCTACCACTCCGTTAGTTCATCTGCTTACTCCTTACCTGAACTGTTGTTTTGTAACCTCCCATCCAGTTTCCTTTTCTCCAGCTTCAGCTGTTCTGCAGTTACAAAAGCTGTCTCTCTAAAACACAGAAATTTTATTGACTGCCTTTAAAATATCAAATCACATCAAAACTCCTTAGCATAAAATCCTTATTATTGCTCAAACTGAATTTCTAGCTTCATCTCTCACCATTATCTTCCCATCCTCATCCCTCACAGATACACACTGTGCTCTACCTATTGTGAATTATCTTATTCCTGCAACTTTCACATTCTTTCAAAATTCTGTGCTATTCTGCATGCTGCTCTATCTGCCTAAATTGCTGTATTTTTCTGAACTTCCTACTACTCTACTATTGAAGTATTTCTGTTTCTCTTTCAGGTCTTAAGACTGAGTGCTCCTTGGCTAACTGGCTGCTAATTTGCTTAGTAAATGGGTTTTCAGTAGATGTGTTACTGAATACATCTTAGATATTAAGGTTTCAATATTTAATTATATGTATATAGATAGATATATTTTAATGCAAGTTAAGAATTAAGGTTAATAAATAGATCTTTCATTAAAACCTGAAACTTTTTTTCAGTTATCAAAGTAATATATTTTAGGTTATTTTCTTTTTTTTTTTTTTTTTTTTGAGACGGAGTTTCACTCATGTTACCCAGACTGGAGTGCAATGGCGCGATCTCGGCTCACCGCAACCTCTGCCTCCTGGCTTCAGGCAATTCTCCTGCCTCAGCCTCCTGAGTAGCTGGGATTACAGGCATGCACCACC